AACATAAGTATCAGGGAGAGCAGCCGTACAGGGTTAGCGTGAGGAAGCCAACTGCACCTGGGTCTTGGCTCTTGTAAGGACTGGAACAGTCCTGGTGGTCACAGGACAGCAGTAGTAAAGCGTCTGAGAGAGGGAAGAGAGGGCTGTCCTTCCACAGGCAGGCACGGGGGCCCCTGGAGGTGCCTGACACCACCATAGGAGACGATCTTATTCCAAACATGAGAAACCCTGCACTTTGTTCCTTTCTGTGCTGTTTCAGCATCATAGAGTTTCCTTTTCCATATTAGAACATAAACTTCAAAGCCAGAATTCTTCCCCTTTTTAAAATCCTCCATTTGACTGACAGGAGTAAGCTACTCAGTAAATATCTGTGCAAGAAACAAGATAATGGATAATGGAAGGGGTAGCTGAAAGACAATTTATTTCCTACTTGGTCTTCTCCCTGAGAACCCCCTACAGCTCCCCAACTTCTGAAATTCCTCTGAGTCCAGTTCTGGAAGAGCTGGTATTCCTGTATGTCCCGGTACTATGAGTCTGCTGAAGACATAGCTTTCCTTTTCAAAGCCGTGAGGAGTCAAAATTCTGCTTATAATGATACTGTGTTGATCATTTCTTTTTACGGAAAAAAGAATCAATAGCTGAGCCAAAGTGTGATTCGCTAAGGACACTGCAACCTCCTGTGATTTTTCTGGAGAACTTGGGCCAAATGTAGTGCTCGCTGGTGACAGGGATGATGGCAACCCCAGAAATCTGTGTCATCACTAAGGGTGAGTCAGCTTCGTGATAAGAAACTAACGAAGTGATGAGACACAGGCAGAACAGATGAGCGACACGGAGAGGAAGAAAAGCCATGAATTTGGAAATAGACCAAGAATCAGATCCTTGGAAAGTGAGTGATGACGCCTGAAGGTGACCACCACCAGCTCCCCCTTGTGGGCGTCACCAAAGCCAAACCACTGGAGCAGACTCAGATGCTACTTGCCAATAGCATCCCTGTGAGCTGAGTCCATCTGACGGCCGTGATATACAAGCCCCTCCCCCAAGTTTTTCAAAATTACCAATATGGTCACATCATTTCTCTGTTGAAACCTATTCAGTAGTATCTCATGACCCTTACCCAAAGTCTGAACTCCTTACCTGCCTCCAGGTGCCCCACCCCAACCCAGGATGCCAATCCTACCTCTTTTTTTCCCCTTTGACACTGTATATTCCAGCAAACTCAAACTTCTTTCCATCCCTAAAACTCCTACTTGCCATTTACCTGACATCTTTATGTTATTTTAACCCTTTTCACTAGCTTACTTTCAGGCAGAGCTCCTTGTCCCCTTGGTGGGCCAGGTCTCTCTACTATGCTGTCCCACACACTGAGCTCAAGGTCTCTCTAATGCTTTGTTTTCCTTCCCTTATTAGAGCAGTTTCAATGAAAGCAGCAACTGTGGATGCCTTTTGGAATACCTCCATTTCCAAAGCCCTGCTCTATAATTGAAACATAAGAGAAGCAATTGAATATTTTCTTTTTATTTTTTTTTCCAGTACCGGGAATTGAACTCACGACCTTGCGCTTGCCAGACAGGCACTGTGCCACTGAGGTAAATCCCCAGCCCCTGAATATTTTCTTGAAGTTAAACAGAATATCCTGTCATACTTAACATGACTGATAAAATGTAAGTGTCTGCATCTCCAGCCATGCTACCTCTCAGGCCCCCAGAAAAGTATCTTGAACCTATTCAAGATCTTTTAAACAACTATCACAAGATCCCCAAGATGTGTAATTTAGTAAAATATAATTTAATATATAATAGGCCACCCAAGTACATACTGTATACTATGAAGTATTCCCTCCAAAACGTGTGTTGAAATTTACTTGCCATTATAACAGCATTAAGAGATGGAAACGTTAAGAGGTGATTGTACACAAAGGTTCTGCCCTCCTGAAGGAATTAATGCTGCTATTCAGGGGTGAGTTGGTTACTATGAAAGTAGGATCCTCATAAAAGGGTTGCATTTGGCTCAATTTCCTCTGTCTCACCTGTGCTCACTTGCTCTTCTCCTGTGTCATGATACGTATGGTGTGATAAAAAAAATGAGTTCCTAGTGTTTTTTTTTTTTTTAAATTTATTACATATAGCCATTAATCCTCCCTCAAAATACTCTTCACTTTGAATGTACTTAATGCATTGTTCCTGCCACTTCCTGGTTTGGGAAGTCCTCTTTCTTGAGTGTCTTCAGTTGCACTGCTCTGACTGCCTTGATATCCTGAATCAATTCAAAACACTTCCCTTTCATGGTCATTTTGATGTTAGTGAAGAGCGAGAAGTCACATGTGCCAGGTCTGGTGAATACGGTGGATAAGGACTCACTGTAACATTGTTATGAGCTTGCCATTTGTTGGATGGCCCTTGGCAGTAGCATTCACCCTATTTTTGATCCCATCTCATTAAGGAACTTCAGAAAGTGGCAAGAACAATGGGATAAATGTGTATGAAGCAAAGGGTAGTATTTTGAGATCAATGGAAATGTGTCTTTAACTATAGTAATTCTTTTAAAAATTTAAACATTCACTGTATATTTTGATCATACCTTGTAGCACATAACGTCTCACAAGTACTGGTGTCATTTTATTGCATTTCTGAGCCTCTATTATTTATAAATTACGTAGTGAGGTATTTTGTTTTAATAGCAGAAAATGGACTAAGATACTTAATTTCTAACTTTCCTATTGCTTTGGTAATGTATGGAAAATAAAAATGAAAGCAAGACACTACGGTGTCACACCAAGAAATAACTTTATCCAAAGGGAGCTCATACATGGAAGATCATCTAACATCAATTCCTGAGGAAGTTTTACATGTGCTACCATGATGACATACATCAAAACACAATATAATCTCCCACAATTTCCACCAAACTTCTGGCTTACCTTATGTATGTCACTTCCATTAAAAAAAATAGACACTAGCAGAAACTAACTGAAGATGGCTTTCTAGAAAATACAAAATGAAAAAGGTAAAAGGTGTCAACTGTAGCAGATGCAGCAAGGGGGGCCTGAATTTACTCTGGAAAGGCTGCTAAGGAACTACCCAAGGGAACAGCTGTAAATCCCTTATCAGGCTCTAAATTTGTAATGGTCTTGTAATTTCAACTCTCACCACACGGTGAGGTGACTAGGTTAGCGGGTGTACTATTTTCTTGTATGTGCGTGTGTGAGAAACCCGGGGCACCAGCACCTTAACATACATTTGTGGTATATCTGATTATGTGAGGCATAGAAATCAATTTGGTTATTTGTTCTTTCAACGCATTTCAAGACTGAATGGCACTTGAATGGTGGCACAATGGGAAAAGACGTCTTTCATATAAAGCAGTATTAAAGCAGCATACAGTGAAGGCAAGTGTTAAAACTAAGAATTTCACAAAATGATCATTTGAAATGACAAATGCTTTTCTTTCAAACTGCATGAAGGTACCAGTTAACTTAATTTGCTGGAATCATAGTACTTACAATAACACATGTACTGGTGAACTTGATCAAAAATGAACACAGAAAAAACATTTTTCAAAGGGAACAATTCTGGTGAAAGCAGAATATAAAATCAAGAAGACCAAATCGAATTGACAGTGATGACTGGTATCTGTCCAGGGATCACAGTGGATGCGGGTGACTCTGGTGCTGCTGAGGAGCGGGTCAGACAGGCTGAGGAGGCCAGTGTGCCCTGCCTCGGCGGCAAGGCAGCTCCGCTCCTGTATGTTTTATTACGCAGAGAGCAAGCAAAAGTCATGTTAAGTCATTCTGTGTTTCAAAAAGATAATTCTGAAGACCTCAGCAACATAGCTGTGCTGCTTCTAGGCATGTAGAGGCAACGGAAAGGACGATGTCTGAGACACTGAAAGCTCCAAACAAGGAAGAATGATCAGTTTCTTTTTCTCTACTGATAATGTTAAAATGACTTGTCAACTAGCGAGCCACACATCAGAGGTGCTGGAGAGCAGACTGTTAGGTATGTAGCGTCAGGTTAAGAGCACAGAGCCAAGTGGGAAGAAAGCGACTGCTCTCCTGGGCTAAGAAACCAGGACAGCAAGTCAGGGCCCTCTGAGCCAGACTTTGGCAATGAGCTGTTTCTGTGAAGCCGGAGTATTTCTGGCTGACAGCTTTCTTCTCTCAGATGTGGCAGAACAAAAGGCACGGGCTGTAGTGCAGGTTTTAACTAACCCTGAGGCAGGTGGGTATGATGTTAGGCACATCTGCTCAAGAATGTGATGAACACATAATTTAAAACGTGGTACTGTCAATAATAATTAGCTGACTGGTATGGACAGTCACAGTACTTAGCACCTAGGGTCTCAGTCAAATGTTCTAAATCTATTTTGAAAATGTAAGTCATACATCCACAAGGATAAAGTCAGGAAAGTAAATTCTACTCTTTGGGCTAGAGACTGAAGTGAAGGCCTTGTGCATGCCAGGCAAGTGCTCTTACCTCAAGCACACATGAGATTCCTAGGTCATGAAATTAAACTCTTTAAAAAAGAAAAGCAGATTAAAGCCAGCATGGTGGCACATGCCCGCAATCCCAGCACTCAAGAGGCCGACACATGAAGACCACAGGCTGAAGTCCTGTCTGGGCAAGTTTGTGAGATTCTATCTCAAAATTAAATTTTACAAGGGCTGGAGATGTAACTCTGTGGTATGAGTGAGGTTCTGGGTTCAATCCCCAGTACCAAAAATAAAATTAAAATTTAAAAAGTGTATTATAACCACTCTAAATTTTTGTTGTTGTTGTTGCTGTTGATTTTAAGTTATACAGGTTTTATGCTTAATAGTATATATTCCAGACTTAGGAAACAGCACATTACTAAAATGTAAAAAGGGCCTTTGATTAACAGATAACCACTATAATGAGTTTAAAAATCAGGCAAAAATGCTGTTTTTAAAAAGGAGAAAACATCTACATTAGTACAAGTCAATATATGAAATATAAGCAGAGAAAATATAAAAACTACTATTTAAAAAAATAGGTAAAGTCATTTATTAGAGAAAATGGAGCTATGAATTTTTACCTTATATGTTTGGTCCTCATAATATCCCTGGACAAAGCAATCCTAAGCATTTTAGTAAACCTCAGTTAAAATAAACTAGTAAGGTAGAATCTGAGACAATCTATGCACCTACAATCTATGAATCTACAGAATCTTGAGTATTACATTCAGTAAATGAAAAGAAAGGCCAATTCTGACCATGTTTACAGTATTCCACAAAAAAATAAAAAATTTAGAAAGAAAAACAAACATGGCATACTTACACAGATTCTTCTTTACTTGTTGATTATATATTTTAAAAACTGAGTAATTATCTTTCCCTTTCAACAAATCCCATATGAGTACAAGATGCTTTGTAACTGTGCAGCATTCAAACTGCATACACAGAAAAAACCAGGTGCCAAGTCAAGGTACTTTTTACTCCAAGGAAAAGGTTGAATACAGAGTTTTAAGAACAAATTCAATATTATCTAACAAGAAGCTTTCTCAATCAATAGTATGGGCATTAGCTTCTAAAATATTTACTCCATACAAAGTATAGCAACCTGCAAAATACTTCATCTGAACAATTTTTCATTCTTTCTGACAAACATGTAAAAATGGCATTTTCATCATATAAAAGCAAATGAAATTCAGTTTTCCCTACACTGTGTTCTAATCCAAACCACCTCACTGCAATTACTGTAAATTACTAGCAATCACTGCATTGATTGGCGAAGATGGGTTTGGCACTGTATTCCTCAAAACACTATGCTTTAAACAGTTATAAAAGCCACAAAGAACCAGGTTTACATCATAAACACAGGGGGTGAAATGTACAAAAAAATGACAGGTACATGATTTTATGTAAGAGATGGTATTGTTTCCTGGCAGCGTAGAATTCTGTTGAAGTGGTAACAGCTCTTTTCATTTCGTAGCTGGGTTCCTGGGAGGAAGGAGCTTGTATGTATTGAAGTAGCCCACCACCTGCTGGGGAACCTCCGCCAAGACACACTGAGCAAGCGCTTCTTTCGGAGCCTTGAGAAAAACAAAAATCAATTAGCAATGAAGATTTACTGGCTTTTTTGTAAGACTAGGAATATCTCAATAGTTGTTAATACAGGCGTAATTCAGTTCTTAGGCTTGTATCTCAGAACAGTTCACAAAATATGTAATAGGCTACACAATCAGTGCTACTTATGATTGCTATTATTATCCCTGCTCAAGTCCTCTTGAGTGGGCCTTTCCACATTTGATGATTTGTTGTTGTTATTCTTTAATTTTTAAATGTGAGTCTTTCATTTGCTTGGTATTAACTTTTTAAATTTCCTATTTTGAATAATTATGAACTCATAGCAAGTTGCAACAACGGAAGTCCTACATACCCTTCATACCCACTTTCTTCCAAAGGTAACACACACTGATAGTATACTAACAAAACCAGGAAACTGGCATGGTACAATTCCCAGACCTTATTCACATTCACATTCACATTACGTGTGATCCCCGCATGTGGTATAAGTGCACATGCGTGACACATGCATGTGTTTGTCTCATGAATGTATATGTGTGTGTAGCTCTATGCAATTCCATCATCTGTACAGATCTGTGTAAGTACCACAAAAATCAAATGACAGAATTGTTTCATCATTACTAAGATCCTTAATATTATCACTTTATAATCTCACATTCCTCAGCTCCCTTCCTATGGCTAGTAGGAATGTAAACTGGTCTGACTGCTTCGGTGAAGTCTGACTGTTACTTTAATAATTAAATATGCGGGGCTGGGGATTTAGCTCAGCGGCAAAGAGCCTGCCTGGCAAGCACAAGGTCGTAAGTTGGGTTCCTGGTACCAGAGAAAAACCAAAAAAAAAAAAAAAAAAAAAAAACTACAACAAAAAAAAATAATTAAATATGCAACTACTATAGGACCTAGCAACTGCACTCTGGGTATTTATCCCTGAGGAATAAAAACAGTTCAAAAAAAAAAAAATGTCTATAGCAGTTTTCTGTATAATAAAAAAGAAAAGCTGGAAAAAGCCCATATGTCCTTTCATAGGTGCATGGTTAAGTACAGTGTGACACATCCACATGAAATCTACTCAGCAACGAAGGGGAATACAGGTAAACAGGCTTAAACTAGCTCTCAGTAAGATTATAGAAACTGATAGCTTTTCATGAAGGTTACTTGGGAAGAGTAATATTCAGAATCTATATTGAGGCTTTATATGACTTCTATAGTTTTCATACATCAGATTCAATTTCATATATTAAATTTCATATAGCATTACAAGTCAGATTTTTACATGTTCTTTTCAATGACAACTAATACCCAAGACTAGCCTTAAAAATTACTTTATAATATTAGTAGGGCTTACAGATCAGTTATAAAATGGAGCACTATACATAGCTGCTATAGAACTAACAAATCTTTCTGTATACGAATTCAATGTGGAAAAAAAAATGGAAAGTGTTTAAGTACAGGTGTAGAACTTTTAACACAAACACTGACTTATAGGAAGACTAAATGATATAGCTAGTCCATACAGCATTTTTGAGGGAAAAAAAAAGAACATTCCAAAGGTCACATATCATATGATTCCATTTATGTTGAAGTAACAAAAGCAGAGAAATAGAGAACCGATTTCTGGTGTCCACGGATAAGCAGGGGCAGAGAGGTAGAAGGGAAATGGACGTAGAAACGAAATGGTAACCCAGGGGAAATGGCGGTGATGTATCTGGTTATATCTATGTAAATATCTTGGCTTTGATTCTGCACTACGGTTCTATAATATGTTACAACTGAAGCCAACTGGGTAAGAGAGTCTTCTAAGACGTTTTCATCCAACCAACCTCCAGCTTGCTCAGTTCAGCATATTCTTATATAGAGTGCTTTCCTGTTGTTACATAGGTAAAGATAAAATATATCTTCAAACATTCCCAACAATACTGTTTTAATAATTTATCACACAGACTACAAGAAACACACAAGAAGGTAAGGCAATGCCAAATCCAATGAGCTTTGACATGCAAAAGAGCTGACATTCACAAGTCTCCTAACCCTGCACGCTTACTCAACTTCTTGTAGACTGGCCAAGTTAGGTGTCTGAATAGGAAGAGCAATACTCACATTCTGGAACTGTCTGAAAGGCACAAACTGGACAATATCTCTGATGGCCACCTCGCCCCTTGGGGAGCGGAGACCTCCTCCATCGCCATCCAGAAACTCCATGGCGCTGAAGTCAGCTCCTCCAACTCCAACGATGATGATGGACATGGGGAGCTTGGCAGCATTAACAATGGCTTGTCTGGTTTCGTCAAGGTCTGTGATCACGCCATCAGTGATGATCAAGAGCACAAAATATTGCTGCCAAAAAAAAAAAAGAAAGTATGTCCATTGAGCAGGTGAAGCTAAAAAGCAGTGATTCATGACATCTCCAGCGTGATGAGTCACTCAGTCTCCTTCGTGCTCATTTTTCTTGTCCGTCTCTGCAGGACACCATCTGCATAAAACATTCTACAGTTCTCTGACAACGAGGAAACTGACTCTTACACAAACTCCAGGTTGACTGAAAGTGCAGCACACCACAAAGTAAGAGTTGGCAAAATACAAGGAAGCAAGACATCTAAATGTCAAAGATTAACCTTTCAGTAAGCACAGGAATAAACACCTTCATTTAATTGAAACATTAAATATGTCAAAGTATGGATCAAGGGAGTAAGTGGTAACCCCATTTTCAAAACAGCAACTAAATACGGAAGCAGTAGAACTGTTTACCAAACTAAAATATGCTTTTTTTAAAAGGGGACATGGCTTAACACCATAATCTTTCTCTCCATTTTGTCATCTCTAACAAAACTTTTCGGAGAGTAATGAAGTGTTATACAAAGTGTTATACATTTAAGTTTAGAATGGACCAAAGATTTAAAGAGTAGAAGTTAACATGACCAAGTGATTACTCTGAGCGAGGCACTGCACACTTTATAGGAACAATCCCATTTAACCCTTTCAACTGTATGAGGTACATTCTCCCTTCTTATTTCTGAATGCACAGGGCTAAGAGAGATTTGTTTTCCAGATCCAATTGATAACGGTCAACTAATTCAAACCTCTTGAGCACAGTAAGTGATCCTGCCACAGCAACAGACAGCAGTCTGGAATGATTTGAATCTGGAATGTCCCTCCTAAGGCTCACGTGTTGAAGGCTTAACCCCCAGCTGGTGGTGCTAGGGGAAGTGGCTGAAATTTTACGAGGTCAGGCCTAATGAGAGGAAGTAGGTAACTGCAGAAGCATCCCTGAAAAGCATATCCTGCCCCAGGACCCTCCTCCCTCTGCTCTCCATCCCTCCTTGCTTCTCCCTTCTCTCTGCTCAACTCTACCACACCACCTGCCATAGTGCTTTTCCTCACTAACGGCCCAAATCAACAGACTCAAGTGGCCTTGGACTGAACCCCCTGAAACTGTGATTCAAAACAAATCTTTCTTCCTTTAATTATCTCTGATACTTTGTCACAGAAAAAAAATTCATGAATGCAACCACTGTTTTGTTATTGTCTTATTTTTAATGATCAGTAATTTAACAACAGACAGCACTCCCAAGCCAATGATGACAGTATCACTGTTTCTTGCTCCTGGACTTTGTATTGTGACAAACCAAATAAATAGAAATATGGTGCCCAGAGCAACTACCAAACTGCATTCTTCCCACCATTTCCTACACAGCACTTACAGAAGCAGTCTGCTGCTGTGTGGCTGCTGCTGCAAACCTGGCCACATGATTTATGATTGGAGAAAAGTTAGTTGGTCCATAGAGCTTTATCTGAGGAAGACAGGCCCGGTATGCCTCTACAATGCCTTGGACTCCTAGGGCAAAGAAAGCAGTGTTAAAAATCCCCAAGTACAACTTGTTAATTCACTATACTGGCTAATTTACTTACATAATCACAGACAGTGCCTTGAGTAGTCTAGTTTATACTCAGGCATTTCTCTAACCTATACGTTACAAAATACTATAGCAATGTTTCATTGCGAAAACCTATAAACTCTGCCCTCCCCAGAAGAAATCATATATTCTCATCTCAGTCAAATATTTATTAGTCTAGGGCTGGCGTATGGCTCAGTGGCAGAATGCTTAACAAGCATGTATAAGGCCCTGGGTTCAATCTGCAGCATCACAAAATAAAATATAATATTTTAGTCTTCAAAATTGTTACACTGTTAATTCCGATGTGATTTTGAATGCCCTGATGGAAAAAGAACCATGAAAATGTGCTGCATCCTACAATCAATGACAAGTGATAAAAAAAATCTGATAAGATGAAAAGTCATTTGTGTACATGGTCAAAGGTTCTATAAAAATACATGGTTATAAAACCAATATTAATTCTAGTTATTAATTGATGCAAATGTTTATTCAATAATGATTAGGAATGCTGATATATTAGTTTCAAATATTCACTTCTAAGTTGTTTATTGCATTTTATTTATGAGGTTCTGCTCCTGGACCTGCTGGAGTGCTACATAAAAGTTGGACAGGGCCATCGAACTAGCTTCGGCCAGCGCATGTGAACGGATGTGACACCCATGTCTAAGCAGATGTTTCAAGAATTCCTGCCTGTTCTCTCCAGCTCTGTTGCTCTTTCCTTCCATCATGGGCACAGCTCCTCCCAGAGAGGGCTCTTCCTTTACCTAAGTCCCAGATTAAGAAACATGGGGCCACCAGGCGTGGTGCTGCATATCTGTGTGTAATCCCAGCACTCGGGAGGCTGAGGCAGGAGAATTGTTGCGAGTTCGAGACCAGCCTGGGCTACAAAGTGAGCTCAAGGCCAGCCTGAACTGCATAGCGTGACCCTGTCTCAAAAAGACAAAAAAAAAAAAAGAAAAAAAGAAAAAGAAACATGGGGCAGAACTGCAATCTAGCCACATGTAAAGTAAGCAAAAATAAACTGTTGCTATTACAAGCCATTGAGATTTAGAGATCTTTTATTACAGTTACTATACTAGCATAACCTAGTGCACAGTGACTGGTATTCCTGGTAAAAAGCACTGCTCATGGGACTTGTATCCTACGTACATACCTACTGAATATGCCCTGGATAATAAAGGGTTTAAGATTCAGGTAAGATACTAGAAACCCTAAGGAATTCAATACCCTACTTCAAGATCATCATGGAAATTTGCCACAAAAACCAACTTGTAATGCAAACCAAAACACACACACAAAGGAAGTAGTCTTATGAACAACCTTTGAGAACTTATGAGATGATTTTACCTGTGTAAGGTGATGCTGTAACTAAGAGTCAGTCAGGTAATAACAAAAAAATATTATTACCATTGGCTAGATGTAGGATCTCCCACTACAAGTCATAACCTACAGAAAAAATGACCCAATAACTATCGCAACCATGATTTTTTCCATTTCTATCATCTCTGCTTGTTCTTCAATATAAAGACATAAACAATTGGTTTAATTTCTTCACAAACATCAAGAGCTTTCAATTCTCCAACTAAAACTGAACTGTGCCTGTTGTAGTCAAGGTTTACAAGAGAATGGATTTAATACAAATACATAATTTATAGGATTATTTCATAATAGTCACCCAAAGAGTCAGATGTAAAGAGTGCAGGAGGTGTGACCACACACTGGAGACCCAAAGAATCCCATGGCAACGTCCTGTAGGAGTCTAGCTGAAGACCTAGAGCCCATGGTAATGTCCTCCATGAGCCCAGCTGGAGGCCTAGAGCCTACAACGTCTCATGGAATCTGTATCAAGGATCTCACTGGGAAGGCCCACAGGTCAGTGGTGGAAGCTAGAAAGTCTAAACCCACGAGATGAAGCACCTGTGCCAGCAGGCGAAGGATCTGCACTGGAGCCAGGAAGTAACACTCAAAGTAAGATAAGCTGAATTCATATCAGGAAAGGCAGTGCAACAAGCTTCTCCAGGAGAATCAACAGCACACCATCCTCCCCTCTGGAGCCAGGAAGCAATGTTAATGAAAGGATTAGAGCTCCCTGCAAAATACTGCAACCATGCTCAGAGACAGCAAGGTTCAGAGCTCCTCCAATGATGATAACAGTTGAGTTCGTACCAGAAAGCTACAGTGACAAGCTTCTCCAGGGGAATCAACAGTATACCATCTTCCCCTCTGGTTCTCTTTTGACGCTGTCAGCAACACTCTTTAGGTGGGCCTTCCACACCCAGCACCACACTGATTCAGTTCAGCTGGGTGTTACAAGTTGACCACTACATAATCCACCACACTGCCAAAAAATCCTTCCTTTGCATTAAAGGAACAAGTATGAGACATTATTTCTAGACAACTAAGTTCAATGATTACTTTTAAAAAGAAGTTTAATGTCCTTGCCTTGCCAGGATTTTTTCCATATTTATTTCTTTTATCTAAAATCAAATTGATTCTTTTTCCAGAAAATAAGCCCGAAATAAAAAAGGTGTATTACTTTGTGAGCAGTCCACAGATGAATTCATGTTACTCAAAGAATAAATAAACTTCTAATATAAACTATCACACAAGTCACTTGTATTTTATAAACTACTCCAATTTCATCATAAACATGAACCATATTTTCGAAAAACAATAGTCCCAGTTTCAAAGAGGTAGGGATAAAAGGTCACAACCAGACACCAAAAGTGCCTCAAAGGAACACTAAATTAGGATGGAAAAAACATCACAGGACAAAGGAGAAAACCCCCAAGCAAACCACCCTCAACAACCTGGTCGAGGTTCTTCCAGACTATATTATTTTATAAAAAGGAAACAGACACCATCTTCTACTAGAGAGCTATACCTTTTGATTGTTAAGAGGACCCTTTGCAAAAAGACAGCTTATTGTCTAGAACTTTAAATGATGATTCTGACCCTATGCCTACCTTTCCTCCAAACTAACTTAGTGAGAGATTTGACACTGTAGTTGATGGTTCAATGTGGTAAAAAGGAGAAACCATTTGCACAGTTGAGGTAAAAGAGAAAAATGAAAAGGAAGAAGACAAATGCCTTCCTCCTGCTTTCTACACAAAAGAAATGTTATAGGAGCTCAAATCTTTGGTTAATTTGCCCATTCTATCTATTTACAGAATGTGACATGAGCAACAAGTAACTAGACATGAGACAAATTTTGTTCGTTTTTAAAAAATATTGATAAAATTTTAAAAATAATAATTTATTGATTTATTTCTGAGAGATATTTGCATGAAGACTTGCTCTAAATTTTTAATGGTATTTTTCCTGTATCAATCCATTATGCTTACATTGCAATTTAAATTAATAATACAAAATTGGTGGCTCTTACAATACAGTTTTAATCGTAATCTTTAATAGTAGTTTAAAACATTCTTGTAGGGTTTTTTTCTTTGTATTTGGACTTACTTTGTGTCTTTTTCTTTTCAGTACCTCTTCATAGTACATAATGATTACTTTTTGTAGGGAGCTGGTATATGTACCTAACCCATCTTAAGTCTTTTTTTACCTCCTTCCCCTGCCTCAATCTCTTGTCCTCTTTGCCTTTTGCCTTTTGCTCTGTCTTCCTGTTTCTTATTATCTATCTTTTATTTTGCTCTTCAATTTGTTTCTCCTTTGACACTTTTTCTTTGTAGAGTTTCCTATTCTGGAAAAAGCTCCAAAAGTTTTCTAATACTGAATAACGCATTTTATTGAAAATTTATTTCAATACTTTTAACATGATGATTTTTATTGATCTCCTAAGAATGTCAATTTGTTGTTCTATTAAACTTCTCAAGGTAGAAGAACTTAGCCTACAACCTTCATATCATAGTATTGATCTGTCTCATAGTTATCATTACCACCAAAACCACCAACCTGGGGCAATTTTTCTACTTATAGAACAGAAAATTGAATATGACACACCAACGGGAATCTAGAGATGGAATAGAATAGTTTTAAAACTAAAGAGAAAAAACAAGTAAGAAACATTAGTGAGGCCTTCATTCAAAGTTTTCATGTTTATCTGTGCACTTACCATTACAGTAGGGATTAGATGAATTAAAGTTCATTGGAAATTCATGAGATACCTGTCAAAAGAAGGGCTGATGAGACTTTTGCTTTTCTTAGAAAACAACGCTTTAAAATATATTTTGTCTTACCTGCCACTGAGGAGGTATCTGAGCTCCAAAACCAAAAGCTGGAAACAGCTTATCACTAAAAAGAAGAAGTGAAAAAAGTGAAACACAGTTGTTGTTGTTTTTTTCAAAACAAGAGCTCTATCTTTACTCACAATAAAATCAGTATGAGCTCATTTTAAAAATTTTTCAAATCTTAGGAAGGTATAAAGATAAAACAAAGATTATCTGTAACTATCAGAGAAAACCAATGTTTACATTTGACAATTCCCACTCTAAATATTTTTCTGTGCATTGGAGAAAATGTCTTTATATCCCATAAAAATGGAATTTATATTCATGTTTTATCACCTAATCTTTTCTACTTAACTCTTGTACATCATTCCACCTAACAAATGTATAGATAAACCCATAAAGTCATAAAAACCACAAGTTTTTTCATTAACCTACAGCAAATTCATTTGGCAGTAAAAGCTGACCTCAGCTGATGAGTTTATCCACAGCACTGATTTATGACACTTAACATGACTGTTCATCCATCTGGCCACAGAAATACGGCACAAATGCCAAATACTATAAAACTCTCAGGTTTCTGTAGCAAAATGTGGGACTATTTGGCCCCAAGGATTCAGAGATATGGACTTGGAGCTGCATAGCTAACAGCACGTGAATGGCCGTGCTCCCCATTCCTACTGGCAGACAGCCAAGGTTCTGCTGCTATGAAACACTGTCACATGGGTTCCCGGTACCAGAGAAAAACCAAAAAAAAAAAAAAAAAGAAACACTGTCACAAACACTAATTCCCCACCTGGGATATTCTTTGTATATTAATTCTTAATGGTTCTTATTCCACTGAAGATACAACCTATGACAGGTTAAAAATATTTTCCTTGGTTTGTAATTTGTCATTAACATAGTTTAGAATATCTTTCCTTTCATAGTTTTTAATATTAGTAAATATGAACATATAAAAATCTTTCATAATTTCTGTCTTTGTTATCTTAAACAGCCTTCCCACTGCAAGTTTATAAACAATTTGTATATATTTTCTCCTAGAATTTTCAAGTTTTGTGTTTGTTATTGAATTCCTCATTCATCTGGGAAGTGTTATACAGTAGATCACACTCTACTTCCCTCACAACACCTGAGCTACAGAGCATACCTCCTAGCTTCTCTAGGCTGATGTGGTCAGGTGGCTAGTCTCTAGGCACGGAGAAAGCAGTTGGTTCCTTTTTAATGATTATATTTATTAATTGTATTAGTTTTACCAATTAACTGGGCTGGACTGTGACATTGCCGTATGTGTGTAAGTCAGCTGCTTCTGAATCATGTCTCTAAAAGGCAATGCACATCACGTCCCGGCCCATTTCTGCTTTTCCTATCCGCCAGAGAAGCTGCCTTAAACCCAGAGATGCATGCTATGAATTGAAAAAGGCAAAGCTGCCCTCTCAGTTCTGAACTACTTTCCTCTATTTTGTAAAAGCTGCTTTGTTTTGAGGTGTCCATTTCAGCAATTTGGTCTATAATTTATACAGACTAGCATCCTAATGTTGATAGGGATGAGTCAGGAACTGAAATTCAATTTCTGTCTAGTGGATGGCTGTAATAATCCCTTCCTTTTCTAAAACATCAACTCTTTCATATATAAATTTCACACATATGTATGTACTTGTGGGTCTATTTCTAGCCTGTCTGTCTGGTGCCACTGCCCAGGTACTAGTTCCAGTCTAACTTTAAAATAAGTTTTAATAACAAGTAGAGAAAATTCTCATTAATTTCTTTTTCTATTTATTATTTTATTGCTTTCTTGCTTCATTCCTTTTTATTTTTTGAGACAGAATCTCACCATGTAGCCCAAGCAGAGCTAAAATTTGTGCTCCTCTTCCCAAGCTTCCTGAGTGCAGAGCTGACCCGTATGCACAAATCCTCCTCTCAAAACCCAGCCCTCCCCTTCCCTTGTGTTTTTCATTATTCTTTTCCTAAAACATGTCTTGTCTACTCTGATTCCTTTTTTTTTCTACAGAATTTTAAGAATAATTTTCTCGTGCTCTACTGTCGTTTTGCTTAATTTGGATTACTACAGAAATCTGCCTACTGAGAAACTGTGATAGATCCGTTCCAGTTACACAAGTTTCCTTCTTTGTTTTTTAATACAATTTTGTTGCTTCCCTCCCTAAAGATCCTAAATGTTTTACTTAATTCATTCTTTTTTTTACTTTGTTATGGCTGGTTAGGGAGAAAATTGATTTTTTTTAATCTTATGTTAAATCTGAACACCTTCCTGAACTCTAGCTACTCTCTAATGTTTTTTCAAAGTATTTTGTAGCAATTATAATTAGGTTAAGTTATGCTTTAGCACTTATCACGAGTCACCATTAGAAAAATTTGGCTCGGTATGGTGCTACACATCTGTAATTCTAGCACTTGGGAGGTTGAGGCAGGCAGTCTGCTATGAGTTCAGGGTCAGCCTAGGTTACACACTGAGTTCAACTACATTCTGAACTACATATGGAGACCCTAAACACTTTTCTCCAAGAAAAGTGTTAAAAATTTGAAGACTACCAAGTAAACAGATATGTTAAGTAATAGTTCTTACTACTGCTTGTAAAATGTGTGATCTGGACTCACCCACACATACAACTTACCCCAAATGATGAAACCCCAAAGACACCAGATCAAAGAAATGAGTCTTGCTGCCTTTAGTCAGCTACTAAATAAGCAAGCTATACATAGCACATTATAACTAATCATAGCAAAAGAAGAGAAATCAAAAGTAAACACTAGAAATACTACAATAGAAAAAGTAACACAAGAGAAATTTTAGGGAGAAAGCTCCTCCCCTGAGCACGCTAACCCTATCACCTATATCAGAATACCTGATGATGAAAGAGAAATAGCCTTTTCCAGGGGATTGAGAAAACAAGTACGTCAGCATTTCCAGTCATACTTACGCATCATAATCTTGAATAACCAGTCCCACAGACCAGATGGCAGTCAGATACTCATTAACACCGTTGGGACTGATGTAATGAAGGGAGTCTGGAGACCTGGGGTCACCATTGGAGCCAGTGAAATCCACTCCCACCTGCCAGATAACAATGGCAACCCTTACTAAGGAGAGGCATGGCCACCCGTGGTTGAGGTCCAAGAAAACTTCAAAGGACGAGATACAAACATTCACTCCAGAGCCTGCCACTGCTATTTCATAACAAATGCCTACCAGTCTCTCACAGAGGACTGAGTTAAAGCTTCAACACGAAACAAACTTATTATTTTTCTAGCTGTCATTACACTCACGACTCAGACTTATAGGTTGTTCTTCATAAGTTTGCTGGATTAATGCTTTCTATTCCTTAAATTACTGCAGGATGAATACTGGTTAGTGTACATCTGCTTTCTCTCGGGAGAAATAGATCTCTCATCAACAAAGCCAAAATGTCCGTAAGGAACCTAGATAACTGCTCTGAAGTCTCAGGAGTTCATACTAAATATAGTGTCTAAATTTCAAGATAGAGGAAAAAGAGCACCATTTTACAGCATATGTTTGAAAATTCAGTATGTGACTTACAGTAAAATTCAGCTGACATCCTCCCATGATATAGTCAAGGAATGTGCATTCCACTGTAATCTAAAAATGAACAACATACTGTTAAAATTAAAACTCTCTTAATTTACAAGAAAAACCAAAGAACTCTCTTGCATGTTTTTAACAGCTCATAATCTGAACAGTATATCATATTAATATGTAGAAATTACACCTGTGTTTGAGGTAAGACACTCCTGCTCCTGTAAGATTTTTTACTTTAGTCTGTAACATTTTTTACTTTAGTCATATTAAGATTAGAACATTAACGGCCAAAGGCAAAATATACCCATTTTATGTGTGAAAAGATTAGAATGAAGCCAGGTGTGGTGGTGCACACATGTAATCCCAGCACTGGGAAGGCTGAGACAGGAGGATCACTGCAAGTCTGAAGCCAGCCTGGGCTACACAGTGAATCCAAGGCCAATTTGAATTGTACTGTGGACTCTGTCTCAAAAAAAAGAAAAAAAATTAGGGTAAGTCTGATATTTTGACAGAGTTCATCTGGATTTTTAAAAAAGTAAACATTTTACTCTTACAAAATTTTGACGTTTTTCCTTCAGTCTTAATATCTTATTTTGAAATTATACCCAGGAAAGATATATTGAGCCAGGCCATTTCCAACAATAGGATGGGAAAAGATCATGAATCCCTCCTTTCCTAAAATAATGGGAAAACTTTAATAGTCCTCCTCCTTTGCTAAAAAGATATCGTCTTGAAAGAAAAGTTACTTGAAAGATTTCTTTAATTTTTCTCATTCCATTCTAGGCCCTAAAGCTGATCCAATGCTCATGTGATGTTTAGTTTCCTAAAATACTTGTTTGATAGGAACCATGATGACAGGAGAGCTTGAAACATGACATTACACTGTACGTGGCCAGTGTCAACTGACCTCACAGTGCTTCACACTGATAACTCCTGAATTCTTATAGCTTTTTTTCTTTTGCTTCTTTTTTTCATTTACACATTCATACTCAACCTGCAGGAGAAGACAAAATGTTAATTTTTAGCATCTATATCAGAAATGTCAACGAACAGCCTTTTCTTCTTGGAATCAATCCACGTACTAATAGAGGTCTATTGCAAAATACACCTTTGAAACAATTAAATATTACATTAAGTATGTGAAATATTATTGGTTCAATTTCCAACAATCATGGCATCCCTAAAATTGCATACATTTTAAAATATATAATTTTCCAAACATAAATAATTTCCTCAAAATGCTCCAAAACATAACCTTTCTTCTTTATAATAAAAGAAGCAAATTATTACCTCTACCTATTAGCAACACAAAGAACACAAAGATTTAGAAAAAAAGGAAAAACAACTTCATACAACAGAAATATATGAAGTCCAACCCTGTGGTAAAATAAATAGCAGATTATCTCCTTCCACTGGGAATACATGTTTAAAGGAGAAGGAAAAATTCTACGGTGTTTTTTGTTGTTGTTCTTGCTGTTTTGAGTTTTGTGGTTTTTTAGACAAGGTCTTGGTACGAAGTTCAGGCTTGTGTTGAACTCATTATGCAACCCAGGCTGGCCTCAAAAGCAGTATGGTCATCCTGCCAAGTGCTTGGATTACAGGCTTGCACCACCACATCTGCTGAGCTTGCTTAACGCTTAAACATTCAGACTTTCATAATTTCTCATTGGTTCTACCTTTTAAATCTTTGCTGGAGACAAGCATGGTGGCCCCTATGTGTAATCTCAGCACTCTGGGAGGCTGAGGCAGGAGGCTAAAGCCAAGTGTACTTAACAAAATTCATGCCATTAGATAGTAGTTAAGTGTTATAATATTTGAGGTATTATGAACAAAACATTCATCCTTTCCTGGGTAAGAACAAGTCAGAGAGAAGAGTAATAGGGCACATTATAAAAGTGCGTGGCCAAGTAGCATACACAGACACAATTCAACGCCAAGTGTTTATACAGTATTGTAGACATTAATTATTGTAACCAGTGAAATGCCAAAAACCTTAAAACTAAGGACTTTCAATCAAACCAGATATGCCACCTTAAACCAAAAGAAAACAAACTTCTGCATACAAACTTGGGGAGAGAGGCAGTCTTGTGTGCATAGTCTTTTGACACCCACTCAATCACGTAAGAATGGGCCTTGATCCTCACATATTCCCTTTTCAAGGGAGAAGAGTCCTCACAGGATATCCTAGGATTATCTCCTATGTGGAAGTATCTTTTCCAGTTTCAGACTCAGTGAGTACTCTACTGTTGTTCTGTTTGAATTTATGCATCAATGTCAGCCCCCTCTGCTCCAATCCCAGCCGTCAGTATTTCAGACAGCAGAAGATTGGTGCAGTCCTACCACTGAAGCTCAAGAAGGGTGCACATCAGCCAGCTGCCCTACTTAGGCTGCCAGAAAGGACCTGCTGGCTACGGGGTACAGGTACCAACTACTGACGCTGATCTCGCTCTGCCTTTTCTCTGTGAGTAAAGCATTGTTCCATCCAGTGCTGGGCTGCATTGTTTTCCATGCCAAGATAAAGCGGGTAAAAGCACCTGAATGTCCTAGTGACTGATACCGTAATGACACTTTCTTTCCTCCGTGTAGCGGGAGTCCTCGCCTGCCACTGGGAACCATTTATATGGTGCTCTGTTCAACAAACTAATATCCCAAATATGAATTTTGGATTACCTGGTTACTAAATAAAATCCACAGATTTTAGAGCATCCTGAGTAAAAATGTGGTAAACTCTTTGCCATGCCAAAGGAAAAAACAATAAACACAGCTAAACTAAGTGGTAAACACAAATGCAAAGATATAACTTACAGGTGAGTTTCTGGAAGCTTCTTTTAGTTTGGTCATGGTTGTTTGGAATGTACCAATGAGATCATGTGATCCATCATTGTCATAATCATAACACTCTACCTGAAATTAAATATAAAACAAATAAAAATCAAAATAATGTTACTAAAACATATTAGCTGCAAACAATGACCTATCAAGAAGTAACTTTGTAATTAAAGTTACATAAAAATGTTTAATATGCAGTCCTTACTTAGCCAAGTAAGAACTTCCTAGAGAGCCAATCACTTTCAAATCCCAGATCACTGGACAAGGGATTTAAAAAGATCACAGCAGATAAACACAAATGCTGTTTAAATTCCACATTAAGTAGTTAGTTCCTCTACCATAACCCCTGTGTGCACTGATAAAAGGTAAAGTGGAATTACACCTACTTTTTGTATCTACTTCTTCACCTTGTTATCACTACACAGTGACTAGAAACTATTATTTAAAGAAAGGAAGTAAATATTTTAGGCAGTTAAAATGCATATATTCTTAAATCCTAAGAACTTAGAATGGAAAGTGTATTTCATAGACTGCAGTTGGGTGAAGCTAGGGCTGCATGAAGAGTTAAACATGATGAGGTCAGATCTGCACCATTCTGAGGATCACAGCTCTTATAATGAAAAGGAAAATGCTTCATCAAGAATACTTAGTCCACTGAGCAAGTATCTATACTGGGTCATATTTACTCCATTCCCACATAAGACAAAGTCAGTCTCAGATCATGCTCTCGTTCAATGCTCTTTCTCTGAAAGCAAAGAAAAGGTGAGACTACTTGACTTACATACAGTTTTCTGTCACATTGATAGATGTAGTTATAAAATAACTAGTATTTCTAGTGGGAAAAATAGTGATATGAACTATCAGCAAGCAGAGGTGTTAAAAGGGGCTGAAAACTGACCACACTGATTGTGAATATTCAATACCAATGTTTTGACAGTACTTCAGAATTTCAGAACAAATTATTTAATTTCTGTGAACATTTATTATGTGCTCCATGCACATCCTCTAAATAATTTTTCGAGGTAGTGAAGTCAAAGTCCTGTTATTATTATTCTCATTTTGTAAAACTGAGACTTGGAGGAATTAAATAAAAAGTCTTAGAAGATCATATGCCTTGTGTGGTAATCAATGCAGGTAAAGTAAGACTGTGTGCGCTAAGGATATTTGAAAGCTTCTACTGCCTATATTTCAAAGTAATAGCTTATAACTGAGAAGCAATTTGCACTTACCCTCAGCCAAGAGCTCCACCTCACAACTGCTCTTCACAAATTATTTTAATCTTAAGCTAAAATGCTCTGGATTTTTGTATGTTCACCTGACAAAGTGATTTTTTAATTCTCAGTTCTAGATATTGAATTCTTATCGTAACAGGAAGTCTTTCATTCTTTATATTCTCATTACTCTTCAGAAACTCTAAAAATCAATCAGTCAAAACAGGCAAGTTCTAGAATTGCAGTTGTGTACAGCTGTAAAGGACTTTGGTCACTGACCAAGTTTGACAGTTTGACTCTTGCCCCTATATATTCAAAATCAAATTTTAAAGTAAGAATTGCTTTATCCAACTATTTAGCATGTCAGTGGAAAGGAAAATTAATAGTCCTAATGATTTTTCTAGAGGAAGAAAAATTTCAATGAAATAGAAAATTATCTTAAATATTTTATGATTAATTTAGCAGACATTTTTCAATTACATAATATAGAACCAAACATTTCACAATTCTATTCAGTAAATACCAGTTTATATCCAAGCAAGATTAATCTTTAATAAGGTCAGGACTTTATTTCAACAAAGACTAAAACTTTATTTAAAGACTACAACTGTAGCTATGTTTACTTAGCCTGAAACTTCAAGAAATGTAAAAAATATTTAAATTAAAAGTTCTGATTACTCATTATAATAAACAGATGAAAAGAGCTCTCTCTCGCCCCCTAGAAGGCAGCTATAACTTTTTTGTGTGTACATGGTATTAGAGACTAAACCTAGGGCCTCCTGTATGCTAAGCAAGCACACTATCAGTGACCTATACCCATGGCCTCCTTTTTCGTTCTCTTTTGACACAGGGTCTCACTAAATTGCCCAGGCTGAATTCAAACTTGCAGTCCTTCTGCCTTACCCTCCAAAGTAGCTGAGATTGCAGGTGTGTACCATTGAATTATGTCATTTAATTCTTCTCAAGAATTCAAAGACCAATACTATTAGCTATTTAAACAATAGCACCAACAGAACTTATGAAATTTAAATGTATGCACGTATACAAATATAACATATACACACATATATATGCAAAAGAACACAAAGACCACACAATGTTACATTCACTATGGCATTCCCATTTTAAGCAAGGAGGCAGCATGCATGATTATTCCTGTTATTCACTTGGTCTTATGGAAATAACACATGCTAGAGTGATAGTACATTATAGCAAGGAAGTTACTGAAGAGTCTAACTTTATTCTCTGCTCTATAATTCTTTACTCTGCTTGTAAGTAATTTCCAGAAAGTAACTGTATCATAAATGTACAGCAGTCTGATACTGCAAAGAAATATAGGGCTAGAGAAATAAAGCGAGTGATGATATGGCAAACTTGAAAACTTTTAAGAATGGAAGACATTTATCAAAAAAAGCTCAGAAAAATCAGTTTACTTACTACAATAAAATAGCTCTGTAAGCATGCCACTGTGAGCAAAGAAGTTTTAGAAACATTGTTTTGGTGTTAATATATTATTACAAACCGTTAAATTATGGTCTACAAATTTCTCCCCAACTTACCTGCCTTCTCAGACCTAATGAGGTTTACAAATTTTAATGTGAGAAGCTAAAGTTCTGGATTTCTTCTGACAATAAAAAGTAATTTTTCTAGCTACTCTTTTACTATTTATATTGTATCTAAATTTTTAGTGCTGTCTGACACACCAAACAAATCGTACTTAACACTGATTTTTGAAGTTTTGTACAAACTGGGAACAATTTCTTATGCATCTCAGAAATTAAGCAGTTTTTAATAAGAATGCCATCTCTATTATGTTTGACAATTTACATTTTCACTTGCTTTATTTTCCTTAACTTTCTTGAAAAGTAGAAATCATAACCTCTACAATATAAGTGAACGAGTTAGTTGACCTGCCCAGTATCTCTTACCTGGTTAAAGGGCTAAGCAAAAAATTTAAGCTATGTTTGACCCCATATCTTACTCTGTTTTACAGTGTTACCTTTCTTGCTTTCACTATTTTAATTACAAAAAAGAAAAAGCAAGCAGAAAACAACAACAACAAAATCTCTGTTGACCTTTGAACATAAGAAAGGCTTTTCTATCTAGAATCATGTAATCATAATGACTCCAGATAAAATCATTCCTGGGTGCGTGCGTGCGTGCGTGCGTGCGTGCGTGTGTGTGTGAGAGAGAGAGAGAGAGAGGGAGAGAGAGAGAGAGAGAGAGAGAGAGAGAGAGAGAGAGAGAGAAAGACTTGGTTTTAAACATCTAGGCATAAAAGTGTTTTTTAAAAGCCTCTGAGACATCTAGCTCTCTCTGTTGCTACTCCACTCCCCTGATATTCTAACACTAAAGTCGTCAATGAGTTTTTGTACTTTGTTTTCTAAAATAAGAGACAGCAATGCCACCACTTTCTCCTCTTCCCCAGTGCTAGCAGAAATCTCTGGGTTCTTAGGCTTGCATATATTTATGTGGAAAGGAGACACTAAAAGCAAAATATATAGTTAATAGTTCCTATTCACAAAGCAAAGAAATCTTAGAAAAAAACGAACTATATATACTTTTTTTAAAATACAAAATAGAAAATATACCGTTTGATACCAACTAAACACACTCACCCCTTCAGACTATTTTACTAATCAGAAAACATTTTTGTTTTAGTATTTTCTACACAAAATACTTGAGTGTATAGGTATCTATCGTCTACTGGTAAAACTACTACTATCTTATTAACTTTATAAAATAGATGAAATGTCTATGTGTATTATATACAATCCTAGTTTTATGATGATTTAACTTATCATTTTTCAACTTTAGTATGGTGTGAAAGTAACAAATATTCAGTAGAATTCAAACTTTCAGTTTTGAATTTGGATTATTTTCTAGACTAGAGATATGCAGTAAGATTCTCTCCAAATGCTGGGTAAAGGCAGCAAACAGCAGCTCCCAGTCACATCAAGGTAAATACCTCTGGTAAGCTATGATGGTAGGCAGGTTAGGTATATTAAATACATTTTTAACTTATGGTCTTTTCTTGTTGCTGGGGATTAACCACAAGGCCTCACACATGCAAGCATGCACTCCACTATGAGCTATACCCCAGTCTAACTTAGAATATTTTCTATTTAAATTGGCTTTACCACAATGGAACCCCATTTTTAGTCGAGGAGAATCTGTATATAATTTCAAATTACCTTAATGGTTTTGTCCATATCTCCATAACAGAGGGAATTAAGAGAGATTTTAAAAGGCTTCCAAACAGGATTCAAGTTGTTCTTAATAACCTACAAAGATGAAGAGTCAAGGATCCATTAGAACAACATCCAGTTCATTAACATTCTTTTCTTGCCTTTGTAAGGCTGTAGGTCAAATAGGAACTTACTCTATTATAAAAGAAAAGAGTGCATGAAGACTAATGGGGTTATGTTAAAGAACTCAGGAGCCATTTAAAAGAGCTCTCCCTGGTCATATCTGAATTAATCTGAATAGCAAAAATAATGGCATTAATAAATTATAACAATTTATGAGTTTACAATGGCGCTAAGAATACATTAAGTGAAGAAATGAAAGAGGAATGCTTGCTAATGTAAGAAAAAGGGATAAAAATTCAGAAAAAAATCACTTTTTACAATAGACTCCAACTTAACATAATTGACTCAAGATCAATGAACATGAAAACCACTACATAAAGAGAATAGGTATTTAATGCAGTCTCAAAATATCACACCACAAATAACTTTTTAATTAGGCCAAAAATGAGACATTGTGGCAGTATCTCATGGTCACTTAACCAAGTACCCATGCCTGGCATCACCAACACTCGTCAGTCTGACATGAGGGGCCCCCAATGATACAAACCAAGCAGCATACAAAGCACTCATGACAAACTTGTTTCATCTGGATCTATTTGGGAGAAAATAGAAGAATCTACATGTTGGACAGTCTCATCTTAATTATTCAAGAAATTCAATGACATGGAAGTCTAGAGAGGTAAATAATAGAGTTCTATGTTAAGAACATAAGAGACAAATGCAAAACTTGAGCTTTTACTCGATGTTGGACAAAACAATGCAAAAAATACATATAAAACATGTATGGAACATCTGAAGAAATCGGAGTATGAATGCCACATTGAATGGCATTACTAAATCAGTGTTACTTTGCTCACACATAGTGGCACAGATTGCCCTTATTCTGGAAAAGTTCCTGCTGGTGCATTGAAAGAGAAGAGTCATTAAGTCTGCAGCCTACATTAGGATGGTTTTGTGCAAGGAAATATATGTGTGTGCATATGCAAGAGAGAGAACATAGTGTGCACAGGTCCGACCAGTTGGTGAACCTAGATGACAGGTACACAGGAACACATGTGGTATTCATTATATAAATAATTAAGCATTGCAGCACATTCTTATTGAAAGGTTAAAAAGTGAACATGGAACATATTGACTTTATATCCCTGTCTATAAATCTAAACTCAAATTAATATTTCTATCAATATGTCAATTTGATAAGTGTTTAAAATTCATACTACTACAGTTCCAAAGAAAAGTTTACTTTTTGATTCAGATAGTTACCTCTGTCCGATGAACCATCAGCCAGTTTCCATCAGATGTCTGCTTATGAAACTCCAGATAAGGGTCTGACTTTCCAAACAGATCCTACATTTAAAACAGGCAGGGCTTTTTGTTGGTTATTTTTTTATAGGATTGATAATTGAACCCAGGGCCTCTCACATGCTAGGCAAGTGCTCTACCACTGTAGCCCCACAAACACACAAACACATAAACAGCATTTGTTCTCCTCAGAAAATATGTATGGCCACATTTTATACAAACCAATAACCATTTGCACCAAACTCCATATTACAGATATATTGGTTATAAATACAAATCCCATCATCTTTCTCACTAACTTACAAATTGCTAAAGTCTACTAGGAAGAGTTATTAAGGCATTTGTGACAGATACTCATAAACCTCAAAATATTGATATTTTTAAAATATATTGATCAAATGAATCATAAAGTGTACTTTCAGCAGTAACATTTTCATTCACATGCACTAAGTAGCCTTATATAAATGATACCCCAAACATTAGTAATACTAACTCTGTAAGTGACAGAACAGTTTTCTGTGAGAAAATGGACTCAGAGGTGTTAAATGACTTTCCCAGCTCAGATAACCGATTAACTGATGGACCTGGGCCTGACTTCCTATCTCACCCTTTTACATCCAGTATCCTTTCATCCATATCAGTCATTTATTTTAAAGGCACAGGGAACAGAGGTAGATTTCCAAAGTGCAAAATAGAAATATTTCAAGGGCACAAACTACATCTTCTATTTCTTCTGTAATTCACGATAGCACTCATATGCAATCCTCAAGAGGAGTGAGCGCACAGAAGTACCCTTATCTCCATTCTCACCGAGCGCATACGTGCAGATAAAATTCCATAATTATGTACAAATCACTCATACAGGTTTAACACAAGTGGAGAGATAATGGATAATTTAGTTTTCTCACTTTTGTTTATCTTCACTTTGAAAAACATATACTCTTTAGCTCATATTACTTACTGTTTTTGAAAATGAAAGAATACTTGTTAATCTCTCAGTAATTAACCAGATATTTCCCTGAAGGTTTTTTCTTCTTGAATTAACCTCTACTTAAGAGCTAAAAAAATATTATTTCTTTTTTGTGCACAAAGTTTAATGCAAAGCAAAGAGCATGTGTGGTACAGTCAAATATACAAACACAAAGACTACGAAAAACCTTAGCCTTATCTCTAGAAAGAATCTTAAAGTAAATGAAACAAACCCCTCTGTGCCTCCCATTTTCCAAAACTAGTAAGACTCCTCCCTACATAAGTTAACTTTTCAAATACACATTAATATGCTGTGTGACTTAAAAATAATCCTATGAGAAAGGCAAAATATGCTCATTACCATTTTGAAGGTCAGAAAACAGCCCTTTTTATAGAGTTCATTAAGTTGTCAGTATTGGCACTAAAACAAGAACTGAAAGTTTCTTACTTTAACCTCCAAGACACAAAGAGCTTTGGGAGAAAACAAAGTGGAAGAAGTATGTATGTAGCATGCTACTTTTACCTACGGGCTAGTGCTGGGGAATAAATACAAACACAAATATGTAAATACATACATACATATATATCTACATGTATATACACATATAAATGCATATACATACCTGTGTATACCTATGTGCATATTTGTATGTATACAAAAAACCTTACATTTTTATGAACAGGAGGATTAAGTAAAAACATACAAATTTTTAAAAAATGACCTATAGGGAGGAAACAGAAAACAGGACAGGTCAGACAGGAAGAGAGGCCAAATTTTTTGGCTTTAACTTCTTTTGTAGATTTGGCTTTGGCACCATGTAAATCTTTACATGATTTTAAAACAAAACAGATTTGTAAAAACTGATCCCCCAACCCAGGCATAGTGGCACAGACTTGTTATCCCCACACCCTCAGAGTCTGAAGCAGGAGGATCACAAGTCATCGAGCCCACCTTGGTCCACTGAGCAACTTAGTAAGACCCTGTCTTAAAATAAAAAATGAAAAAATGGCTAGGGAGGTAGCTCAGTGTGAAAGCCCTACGTTCAGTCCCTATTGCCATTGAAGTGGGGGAGCAATCCTTAATTATCAAACACAAAATGAAACTATGTGTCACTGTGACAGCATACCCACAGACATAAATTATTTCTTTAAAACACAAGAGTTTGACTATATAACCCAACTATTATATACATGCCTTAAAGACTAAGAGAACTTCAAAGAGAGTTCAAAGTGTATTCAAAAACACATTTTGTGAAAGAGAACAGTTGATCATGTTCATATATTTTGAAAGCAAGATTTTCAGCATAAAAGAAGTACAAATATAAAATAAAAAGAGGGCCAGGAATATAAAGAAGGGCCAGGCACAGCACCTGCCTGGCAAGTGCAAGGTCCTGAGTTCAATTCCTAGTACCAAAAAAATAAAATAAAATAAAAAGCTCAAACTGAAATAAAACAAGCAAATCCCTGTAGTTCTATATTTGATTTAGAAGCATATGTGTAGGTGTTTTTATTTGGTTCTTCTTTGAAAAGAGCCTTTCCATGTACCTGTGCAGTGAAAAGCCCTAGAACCATGAGCAACAGTAACCAACGAATCATGAAGCACTCTTAGCACCAGGCTGTGGCCTCTAAACACCAATTCCAGTAAAATGAGGTAAGATTCTTTTAAATCTGCCAGTCTAGGTCAGAAATTAAGCAAAATAAATCTAAAACATATTGTTATGATACAGAACAAGGAAATCCTGGGGTTGTGCAAAATGGTCCCAGAAACAAATTTAAAGGTTACTGACAGGAGCCAGATGTAGTGGGGCACACCTGTACCAGCCACTCAGGAGGATGGGGCAAGAGGAGATAGCATGTTCAAGGCCAGCCAGGGCTACTTAGACTTATTTCAAAATTCAAATTTAAAAAATGTGAGCGGCTGAGCACGTAGCTCAGTGTTCCCAGGTTTGAGCTCCAATTTAAAAGTGAAAAAAGAAGAGGTGCCCTCAGACAAATGTTGGGATAATTTGGACATCAATAAGAATTTGCCCATTACAGTTATTAAAGTTCAAATCCATGAGGGTATAATACTTCTAAAAAAGAACAAAACAAATTAAAAAACCAATTAGCACGTTTAGAAGATGTTTGGGACCCAACTTACTCTGAAAAATTGTAAATATGGTGATAAAAAAATGAACACTTTAATTTGCCTTTCTTGTACACACCATAGCTCGAAATGAACACCTAATGGGGTGAAGTTTCTCTCTGTAGATGCATTCTTGCTAAGAAACAAAGAAGCACTGATAGAGCGAAAATACCACTCTTTTCCAGATCCTTAATAAAATATATCCCGATAGTTATAATACATGGTTGCTAACATCCCCAAAATACACAACTCAGTATAAGCTTCTTGATGGAATTTAAGCATGATCACTTAGGAAAATACCTCGCTTACAATTCCAAACAGTATCAGATTATGCCTCCACATTCAAAGATGGACTTACAGAAATCAGGAAACAAAGGTAGAGAAGGGGAAACATGCTAAGTGACACCAGTAGTTTTTCATTAGCAATACGTGGAACATGAAAATTTCTATAGGACAAAAGAGTATGCTTCTTAATAAATAAAACCCAAAGATGGATGAAGAGATGAAGACAGAAAACAAAGAAGTGAAGAATAAAGGAAGAGAGGGAAGGAAGAAAAGAGGGCGAGAAGGAGGGACAGAGCGACACAGGGAGGGAAGGAAAGTAGAAAGTAAAAAGGTAGGAATTTACACAGTTAAAAAAATTTAAGAGACTGTTTGAAGATTACATTTTGAAGAGGATTTTTAGAGGTACACCACAATATTAATTTGTGAAACAAAATGGTGTCTGGGAAAAGAGAGAGAAGAGAGGGAGAGAGATGGAACAACACTGGCCATAGTTATAATAGCTGAAGATGAGGGGCTGGGGATTTAGCTCAGCGGCACAGCACCTGCCTGGCAAGCGCAAGGTCATGAGTTCCATTCCTGGTACCGGAAGAAAAATGAAAAACAAAACAAAACAAAAAATAGCTGAAGATGAGAGATGGAGATGTGAATACTTTTAAAAATACTATTCTAGCCGGGTGTGGTGGCACACGCCTGTAATCCCAGCACTCGAGAGGCTGAGGCAGGAGGATCATTGCAAGTTCGACACAAGCCTAGGCTACAAACTGAGCTCAGGGCCAGCCTGAACTGCATAGTGAGACCTTGTCTCAAAATAATGTTCTTTTTCTTTATGTGGAAATGTTTCCAATAAAATAAGTTTGCAGCAACTAATCTGTTTGCAAGAAAACTATAAGACAGGGGCTGGGGATTTAGCTCAGCAGCAAAGCGCCTGCCTGGCAAG